GTGTGGTGGTGTGTTGGGTTGTGAGGTATATTTGGCCAGGGAATGAAAGGAAGGGAGAGAAGGTTTTATTTGTTTATTAAAAGGCTTAAAAGAAGGAAAATAACAACAAAAAAAAGGTTTTGGTTTCTTATTATTGACCAGGGATTAAAATATATGGTAAAGGCTTTATTTTGGGATAAAAGAAGAGATAAAAGACTTTTGTATATGTTGGGAGGAGTTGGGATTTTTGGTGGAGCCATCCAGGGTTATAACAATTTGGTTTGGCCCTAACTTGCTTTTGTACTATTTTCTCCTTAATAAAATGCATCAATAAAACTTAAGATATCATGTTTAAAAATGCATCGAAAAAATTTTGAGCAATTCATTTTAATTAATTTTTTAAATTGTGCTTTGAATTTTATAGTTATAATTTATGTGAGATTATACGAGCCCGTGCCAAGCACGGGGTAGAAAACTAGTTATTTTCATATTTGCAGGTTTGGAAGATCTAAGCAGAGTGCATTAATAACAATATGCAACTAAGTATTCCACATTTTAAATATTAAATAGATATGTTTGATAAATATATGATATTAAGATGCCAATAAACTATGAGATACATATCTAATTTATCAATTTCACACACTTAATCATTTCTGTATACTTTTCTTTGTCTATTATTCTTTCTATTTAATTACCAAACTACTTGTTATTTTTTTACCAAATTAACATATTAACATTTCCTAATAAACCTCTGATTTTTTCCTTCTCATATATATAATGGTTTCCAAACTCGAATTACGAATCAAAAGAACATTAGTTTTGAAACGACTTCTGTCTCCCACAATAAATCAATTTCCGTCAACTTTTTTTGTCTATTATTCTTTCTATTTAATTACCAAATGATTTTGTTTTTCTTACCATATTATCTTAATAACATATCCTAATTTTTCAAATAAACATCTGATTTTTTCATTCTGTTTATAATGGTTTCCAAATATGAATTACTAATCAACAGAATATTTAATTTAGAAACAATACTCAAAGACTAAAAATCGTAGCTCAATAAAACTACAATTGCTTCAAAAAAAATCAAACCATGAGATTTAACAAAACATGATAGCAGCAGAAAAAATCCCACTCATTCCATGCATATAAAATATGCATTGTTCGACTATGAATGACATGTTGTTGCAGTTTTTAATTTTCAAAGTTGATTGCCTTGTGCTTAAGGACTTGGCAGGCATTGCACCCAAATTCATCACTTAGGTCTCTAATAGTTGGGTCATCTTCGATTGAAATCCTGAGCTTGTGCTTTTGCCCAACACTGCTGCTCATAGAGGGTTGTTCATCACAAATTTTCACCTGTAAAGAATTCCCATTAGCATAGATATTATTCTAAGTAATTTACAATCATTCTTATGCTTGGTAGATAGTACCTCTACATCTTCAACAATAGCTTCTTCTTCGTCCCAAAAACTTATTTTCATGTCCACCCCATCGTGTTTCTAGTACAACTTCTAAATGTTTGGATCAGCAATCAAAACAGTAACGCTGAATATTTTTCTGACTTTGGTTTCACACACTCGGAAAAGTCCCTTAGTTTTGATCAAACTCTCAATATATATATATATATATATATATATATATATATATATATATATATATATATATATATATATATATATATATATATATGTATGTATATATATATATATATATGCATATATATCAATGTTCGAAACGGCGTATTGCGGTTTTGAGGCGTTCTCATTTCATGGCGTAAGGCGTAAGCCTTGAGGCGTTTTGAGGCGTAAGCCTCAATTTTTAAATTGAAAAACATTCACAAAATAATTTAAAACCAAAGATAGAACATAATGTATAACATAAATAATCCAAAAACATGAAAAGAGTATATTGTCAAAGCAATACATCGCAAACATAAAAAGTTCATTTTGACAAGGTGCAGAATTTTTCCTTGTACCAGCAAGATGATGCTTAAATCGACTAATCCCGCCTTTGACATCTTTTTTACAAAAATTGCAGTTTACATATTTGTAGTTTTTTTTTTGTCCTTCGATATTGGGTGTTGAGTCAACACCATACTGCCATGCTGGGTCCGACATTTAAGCAATATTCTAATTTCTGAAACAACAAAATAAACAATACAATACTATGCAATAATTCATCTTAAAAACAAAAAAAAAATATAACAATTAGCACATCAGTAATCAAACAAAAGAAGAAAAAAAAGAGGATATTAACAAGTAAAAAAATCATCTCATCCAACTACTTGAAAAAATACCAATCATAAACTCATAAAAAACATCAATTGAATGCTAGTGTACTTCACAAAAAGATTACCAAAAAAATAAGAAAAAGAAAAAATAGTACCACTTGAGTACTTGACAATTGTAAAAAGAGAAAAAGACAAAGTTGGATGTGCTGGAAAGAAAGAAAGAGCAGACATAAAGCAGAGATAAAACGCAGAACATTTACCCAAAGCAGACATAAAACGCAGCTGGAAAGAAAGAGCAGAGACGCAGACCAAAGAAACATACCTTTTTTCCGGAGAAGAAGACTGAAGACGGCCGACGCTGGACGGCTGGAGACGGTTCGTAGCTCGCCAAAAGGTAATCGACAAAGATTAGGGTAATCGACACTAATTTTGGGTAATTTTGGGATATATACACTTAATTGGGTTAATTAATTGGAGTAATTGACAACTTTAACCTTCAATACCCAAAATTTTAATCGTTTAATTTCCAATTTCTAATCCTAGAATTGCGTAAGCCTTAGTGCGCGCAGTGGCGCGTACGCCATGGGGCGTACGCCTTTCACAGAATAGCGTAAAAAAACCTATAGCGTGAAAACGAGATTAGCTCCAGTGCTTAATTTCCGGAAAAAGTTAAGAGGCGCGCCTTGAGGCGGGTATCCGTTCCGCCTTTTCGAACACTGATATATATATATATATGTGTGTATATATATATATGTGTGTGTGTGTGTGTATATATATATATGTTGAGAGTTTACAGGTGAATTGGGAAACATTGTAAATTACTTAGAATAATATCTATGCTATTGGGAATTCTTTATTAGTGAAAATTTACGATGAACAACCCTGTATGAGCAGCTGTGTTGGGCAAAAGCACAAGCTCGGGATTTCAATCGCAGAAGATGAACAAACTGTTAGAGACCTAAGTGATGAATTTGGGTGCAATGCTAGCCATGTCCTTAAGCACAAGGCAATCAAGTTTGAAAATTAAAAATGCAACAGCATATCATTCATAGGCGAACAATACATATTTAATATGCATTGAATGAGTGGGATTATTTCTGTTGCTGTCATTTTTTGTTAAATCTCATGGTTTGATTTTTTTTGAAGTAATTGTGGTTTTATTGTGCTTCGATTTTCAGTCCTTGAGTACTGTTTCTAAAATAAATATTCTGTTGATTAGTAATTCATATTTGGAAACCATTATAAACAGAACGAAAAAATCAGAGGTTTATATGAAAAATTAGGATATGTTATTAAGATAATATGTTAAGAAATAACATATTGTGGGAGACTGAAGTCGTTTCAAAGTTAATCTTCTTTTGATTCGTAATTCAAGTTTGGAAACCATTATTTATATGAGAAGGAAAAAATCAGAGGTTTATTTTAAAAAATTAGGGAATGTTAATAAGTTAATTTGGTAAAAAATAACAAGTTGTTTGGTAATTATTTAGAAAGTATAATAGACAGAAAAGTATACAGAAACTTATTAAGTGTGTGAAATTGATAAATTAGATATGTATCTCATAGTTTATTGGCATCTTAATATCATATATTTATCAAACATATCTATTTAATATTTAAAAAGTGGAATATTTAGTATCATACCGAAATGCATATTGTTATTAATGCATTCTGCTTAGATCTTCCAAACCTGCAAAAATGAAAATAATTTAGTACAGTATTAAAAAATCCTCTTTTACCATAGTACATAAAATTAGGATATGTTATTAAGATAATTTGGTAAAAAATAACAAAATAGATTGGTAATTAAATAGAAAGTATAATACACAAAAAAATTATACAGAAACTCACCTAGTATGTGAAACTGATAAATAAGATATTTAACTCAACCCCGTATCTTTTCCTCTATCTTTCAACATCAATGGCAGCTGCTAGGGAATGGATGTTACTTCGAGCCGTAGATACCAAGAAACATCAAATTGCTATTAAAGTTCTTGTGGTTCGAGCCTACCGACGCCCACCGTAAATTTAGATATACTTTTCCATGACCAACAGGTGTATTTAAATTTGTGTGCAAAATATATGAATGTTAAAATATTTATCCATATATAAATATATAAATATACATATCTACGAATATATATATATATATATATATGTATGTATGTATGTATGTATATGTATATGATTTGAAAGGGTGACAAGGGTATCAATGATTTGAAAGGTGGGTATGACAGAGGAGCTGTGGAAGAGTCATTTGAGCTTCCGTATGATCACAATGAGCTGGGGCAGAAATTGATAAAATTGAGGCCGGATCACTTGGGAAACAAGAATTGGTTTTCATTACAAGAATTGAATGATAGATTACTGAAAGTTAGGGAGATCGCCAAGGAAGAGTACAAGGCTAAAAACACTGGAGAGTTAGCGATGCTGAGGAGTAACTTGAAGTCAATAGAAAAAATTGGAACTGCTGCTAAGAACGAAATCAGCCACTGTAGGTTCTGAAATTGATCTTTAACTTATATGTATTGCCTTCATTATTTTTGTTTTCGTTATCCAATGCCATAGTGATTCAGATAAGGCACTTGTTCTGTGCTCAATGCCCAAGCTTTGACTAATATTTTTTAAATGAACATTAATGCAAGAAAAAGATAAGCACCAGTGCATGATTTTTCTGGGTTGTCTGGCATTTTAAACTTGTTCTGGTGAAGGTTGAAATAACATGCATTTTTTTCTTTTCTTAGCAAAAGCTTCACAATATTAGAGCATCAATTCTATTGGTTTTGGTTGAGAACTCACTTTTTCCTAATATTGGTTCACCTAGATGGGGATGTGGATATGACACGCCTATTTGGAGAAAAGTCAGAATACTTAATTATCACATCCTCCCAAGGAGCACTTAGTTGAAAAGGTGAGTTTCATTTCATTACGTTTCCCTCATAACTTTGGAACCAGTTTCATGTAACTTTTTCTTGCACTTGCCGGGCTTCACGCACACAACACAACCCCCTCCCCTGCACAAAGGTCCTTACATAAATTTGAAGTCATATGGATAACCGTTAAGCTCTACCATAATGGCATTTGCCATTCAACTTTTATATGTATCTTGTTATATATATATTCCCTCCGTCCCTAAATGAATGTCTTGGTTTGACTATCACGGGGTCTAAGAAAAAGTGAAATTGGATGGTGGAGGTTTATGCAAAGGATAAATAAATTTTGTGAACCACTCATTTCTTTCATAAATGCAATGAGACATATTTTGGGACAACTAAAAAAGAATCATAGGACATTTTTTCAGGGACAGAGAGAGAGAGAGAGAGAGTGTGTGTGTGTGTGTGTGTGTTATAAGCCTGATGGGAAGCCATCAGGACGATGGGTTAAGGACTTGATGAATCTGTGTTGGATAGCATGTTCAAGTGCTCTACTGAATCCTTACATATCCAGGACAAAGTGTAGAGGGCATATGGGGTCACCTGGTTTAACCTCTCTCCTCCTGCTAAAACCCCCCTGGGACTGCCATTGATCAAGATGGATGTCTTGGTAGCTTCAAGGTTTCCCAACATGAGCTTGGTGACCAGGTCATTGAAGCCCAACTTTCTATGGACCTGCTGCAGATATGCCCCTGATTTTGTCAAAAAGCCCTTGAAATATCAAGCTTAATGATTGTGTTACCACCCACCACCCTCATATGTGAGCAAGTTCCTAAGCCAGCAGAATCTGATCATCCACTGACATACCCTTCTAAAAGCCAGCTTGCTCAGGGCTAATTACTTTCTGAAGTAGGGAGCTCAATCTTGTGGCCAGTATTCTTGTATTGATTTTGCTCATAAAAGTGGAAAGTGAAATAGGTCTGAAATCTGTCTATTAGAGGCATCTTCTGTTTTGGGGATTAGGGTAAGCATTTTGCTTCCATCTGCTTTAGGGACTTACACACCAAGAAAGAACTCTGGACATGATTTATGGGGATCATCCTTGATAGATTCCCAATATTATCTAAAAAATATTCCATTGAACTCATCTGGTCCACTGACAATGCACTCTTTCAGGTTCCACACTGCCTCCTTCACCTCCTCAAGGTTAGGGAGGTTGCTCCTTCACCTCCTCAAGGCGCCTCCACACTTTGCCTTGTGATCTGTTGCCAGTCCATGTAAATAAACGTGAAACGTCCTTTGGGATCAATTTGTTTAGGTTTTCAATGCAGTCTTGAAAATCATCTGTCTTTTGTGGAATGAACCACCTATTCTTTGTGTTCTTCCAGGGAGGCAATGACATTAAAGGCACCTCCTACTATGCAATTGCAATTTGCTGGCATATTGGTTGCTTTTGCCTCTCCAGAGTTCTTCCCTTTCCAGGGCTGTATGCCTCTCATATACAGTGGAAATATGGAAGATATCATCAAGGATGGGGTTTTGAAACTCCACATTGATCAACTGAGCTCCTAGCTTACAAGGTTTCCTCACCAGTGAAGAGTCATTCCAAAAAAGGCACACTTTGTTATCTAACGTAGCGTTAAAATTCTGGCAATTTAGTTTCAAACCAAATCCATTAATCTTAGCTGCATGTACAATAGGCTCCAAAATCAGATTATGAACTTTAACAAGGGAAATAAGTCAATTTAAAGAGCTATCAGCACCACAACAATTCCAGAACAGCATCTTCAAGGACACTGAATTTAACTGAGCTTGAGCTGTCTTCATGCTATGCCTTTGAACAGCTCGAGGCCTAGTTTGTCCTTTATCAACCCCCTCCCCCCCTCGGGAGCACCATTGAAGGGGTTTGCATTTAGGGATATCAATCTCAAGTGGTTCTAGGTTAGAGTGATCAATAATTTTTTCACCATCTTGCTCAGAATTCATGCGAGTATCCCCGATGGCCTCAAGGCCAGCCTGCCTCATGCCCATCCATTCTCGTAAAAATGCATCAGAATCAAATCGATGTATATTCATGCATAATTCACCCTTTCTTCCATGTTTAATTGGCCGTCCCTCCTGAGTACCAATAGGCAGTCAACAGTAGGGTTTTCCAATCAGTCAAAGGAAGGGTCTTCAGTCCCTATTTTTAGTGATGACGCAACCTTCTCCGTCCTCCCACTAGCTAAGGTTTCAGGAGAAAAGTGAATAAGGCTGATGCTCTCCTCGTCGCCATGGGGGCCCAATGTCTTCTTGGGATAGAAGAAATGCATAATGTCCTTAACTTGTACTATTTCCACATTATGAGCAGAATATGTGGACGTTTGAGGGACCCCCATGAAAAACCTCTTTGTGACTGATTTGAGGTATTTAACCTGATATTTTGTTGATAGGTTGCAGGGATCTTGATCAATGCATTAGATGGGGCCCACTTCTGTGAATGACCCTGATGTTTAAGGAGTCTGCTGTTAGCTCTTCTCTTTGAAATGATGGTCGTCCACTCGTCCATCCATCTTTGTCTGCCACGATGACATATTTACCCCTGTCTGCTCCTCTGCTGGAGCGGATTTTTCCAGTGGTTTTTGGATCTAAATTCTGGCCACCTACAGAGCAACAAACATGACCAAATCTCTTGCATGTGATGCAGTAATTTGCGACATTGTGATGCTCCACCGGAACTCTGGAAGGGAAGCTACATCATCCCCCATTCTAACCTTAATAGACTTTTCCAAGGGCTTTGATAAGTCCACCTCAATAAGCACTCTGGTAGTGTTGTGACAAACAGCCAGAAGAGTCTGGCCATCGACTTTAAAAGAGTGCCAACCAGACTAGCTAGGAGAAGAGTGCTAGGACATCTTGTAGGTGAAAAGGACATTTTTTATGGTGGTCCACATGGGAGTAATTGGATTATCCTCTCCACGTAAATAGTGGGTGACCATTTAGATAGGTATAGGACTTGTTTGGGCATTAGCTGTTGGCTGTTAGCGGTTTTTGTTGGCTAATTTGAATGGTTGGTTGAGTTAGTTGTTGAGACTCACTAGTTATATTATGGAGTAGCTGTCAAGAAAGAGTTTAACATGCTTAGTTGTTAATAAATTCCTGTTTATATAATCGTAGCACAAATTACATTTTAGGACATGCTCCTGTTTGTGTTAAATAATGTTTTATTGTAAATACAAGAAATCAAAACTTACGGGTTTTCTTTGTTTTGTTATTGAAATTTGTGTGTGTAGCAATTTATTAATATTAGCTTTATCATTCAGAGGTTAGTTAGAGTATTCATTTTGTGTCATTATTTTGCAGTATTTTGATCCAGCTCTCATGTCATCTGCAGAGAAAATGAAGTTGGAGCTAAAGAAAGTCAGAGATGAATTTAAAATGTCAGAGTCCGATTGTGGCTCTGCTCGTGTTCAGGGTAACCGTTTATGAGTTTTGTTATGGATATGGATTTTCTCCACCCAAAACTGTATACCATTGCAGGTTTTGATTGTAAGTTATTACACGATGTCCTTGCTATCAAATAATTTTATTTCATTTCCACTGCAGTAGCTCAACTCACCACCAAAATCAAACACCTATCAGTTCTGCATAAAAAGGTAAGTCGTATCTGGACAGTGGATATGTAATTGTATCGTAATTTTTTTTTGGCGTTTCAAAGATAGAGAAGGTGCTGAATTGTTTAATTACGTAGTAGCAATAGAAAAATGAAAAGAAATTTAATAAAATCAATTTGTTAAGGAGAACAGAACTATGACTCTAGTTGATAGACTTATTAATTTATGGTTACTGTTAGTTCCATGGTGTTGGCTAATATTTTGGCAAAATAGAATCCCATATTTGTTAGGTGTTTTATTAGGTAGAAACCTGTATTTGTTAGGAGAGGTTTATTTTATTTAGACTTCTAGAGTTGCTGCAGTTTTTGAGGTTGACACAGAAGATGCTACAGCACGATGCTGCAACACATAGTTCGGGATCAGAGGTCTGAGCACGGGATTTTAAGCTGCAATCTGATATAGAGACCTATTGGGACTGAGATTACATGATAATAACTCCAGCTGTACATGCTAAGGAATCCCAACTCTTTAGGCTACTTGTGGATCAAGATTAAGGAAGTAGAGTTCAAGCCAACTTCTACTATCCTATTCCTACTAGGATTGTGTTAAGAGGAGTCTATAAAAACGCAGCTGGTCCCTGGGAATTACTTGGAGCGATTGAGAGGGAAAATACAGAATATACGCTGATGTAGAGCGTTCTCGTCGCGTCTCCCTTGCGTGAAGAAGGTTACGATCTACATGAAAGATGAGATCTTCAATGCAAAACAGATCGTGACATCCAGGAGTTGAACCAGAGCTTAAGGAGAGGGTTGCCAACACGTTTGTCCTCGTGATCTCGGTGGAGATGTGATAGCCGAAGCGGATTTGAACAGAGTTTGGGTTAGAAATCCTAGATTAGAAGTTTTGTCATAACAATTCGGAGAAGTGTGTCTCATCATGTTGTTATGTACCGGTGTAACTTGCATCTAGTGATTTAGTGGAGGGCTATTACACGGACGTGGGCCCCGCAGACTAGGAGAATTTGCTCCGAAGTGCGTAAACATATCTGGTGTTATTTTTTACGCTTTTTACAGTTACAGCATTCTGCTCAGTAGGCGCTGTAACACTCTCTGCATCATCTACTTCTATGTGCGTGCTTGTGACAGAGAAGTGTTATAGCACACTGTCCGTCATCACGTAGTGTGACAGTGCTGCAGCGTCTTCTCTGCAAGATAGTGGATCGTTTGTTTGCATAGCTCTTAATTGGTGATTTCCGCTACGCCCCCACGAACTTACAGTTACTTGTTGCATTTACACGTTGTTCTTGGCTTTATGATTTCCTTACCAAGGATGTGTCCGAGATTAAATCCTTGGCAGTCCCCTCCTGTTGTTGCTCAACAGCACATTGTACTTGATGAATTAGATTTGGTCGCCTCTTGTTCCCTTCTCCAGTTTATTATTATTAATTCAAATTTTATCCGGTGTTTCTTAGGATAAACATTCTCGAAAAGGACTTCAAGCAATGGTCGAGAAGAGGAAGAAGATGTTGAAGTATCTCCGGAGGACTGACTGGGGCTCGTACTGTCTCGTGCTATCTAAGCTTGGCCTCCCTGAAAAAGATTACTACAAGGAGTAAAAACTGCCACATGCTCAACTCTTTGCAAGCTCGGGTTGGAAGCAAAGCCTTTTTTTTTTTTTTGCGAATTGTGGCTGTCACTTAATTTCCTACCCCCCACGGGTTCCCTAATTTTTTTTTCTAACATTGCTTGAATGCACTTTTGCAAAAATAATTTTTTTAGTACACTTTATGGCTATGCAATGTAGTTTCTTGTTTGGTTTTTGCTCATTTTTAAGATCTGATAGTGGTGTTCTATTTTATACTCCCTTTGTCCCAATTTAAATTGCTTGTTTTGACTTTTGGGCATATTTAAAAATAAAAAATAGAGTTGATTTTTCGAAATTGACATTACTTTATAAGAGGGGTGATGATGAATAAGAAGATAAGGTGAAGAAGTGTGACTTATTTTAAGGATAGTTTATGTATTTTATTTTTAAAAATTTATAAAAACAACTAACATGCAACTTATAACACATAGTTTCCACTATCAATCAAGTTTCCTTGGGATACTAAGAACGTTTGAATGTGGAAAGACTAATGCATTTTAAGTTTGAATTTGTCTTTAGAAATTTTTTATTGGGAAATGAAATAGGATTTTTTCCCTATTAACATATATTCTGACTCTCTTAAAATTAATTTCTCTGTGTGACTTTTGTAGTAAAACTTTTTAAGCTTTGATGGTATATTTAAAAAAATGCCATTGTTGTGCTACTCCGTATAATATAACCTTCCGTTCGAAAGTGGAATACCCCGAGTATGTGTTAGTGCTCCGTTTTTTTGTGTTTTATACACTGTAGAATTTATACTCGAACGTGCCGCATTTCATTTTAGGACAAGCACACATGACACAAAAAGTCCAGTCAAAAGTATCATTTAAATTCTGAGAGGAATGGTTAAGATTGTGTTCTCTTTATCTGAATATTTAAATTTGATTTAAATTTTCTAAAGTTGATCTAATGCGCATGTATCTTATAATCCGATTCTAATGTACATAATTTGATTTGCTTATAGTGTAATTTAAAACTATTATTTCACTCGTGCAATGTATGGGAATATATATTCTATCAAATTTTAAATTATTTATATTAGAAAAATGTAACAAAATCATTTTTGGTAAATTTAGCAAATATGTAATGTATAATTTTTATTTTACTTATAGACAATTAGCGCATTATTAACGGTTAGAACGATAGTAGATTAGATGAAGTATCCATTAGAGATCTATTACGTTAATTTCAATACCATTTAAGTCATCCAATATTATGTTTAATTAAATTCTTTATAAAGAATACTACTCTTTATAAATAAAATGATAAATTCAAATGTTTATGATCTTTGTGAGATATTCTGTACTCCATAATAAAATTCTCCCTTAGCTTCTTTTCTTATCTAAATAAGATGAATGACTAATTATTTTTATATTATCCATTATTTACCTGCTTATATCAACTCAAAACTTCTTAATCACTATTCCATTGAATCACCAATTTCATCATAGACATTTTGATTTAGATGTTTCTTACTTTAGTGCTAGCGACACATGGGTTAGGGGTAGGCACGAGCCCATCTGAGGCAAGATTTGTAAAAATGGACTCAGTTTCTTTTTATTAAAATGGCCAGGGTTGAAACGAGTTTTCAAAATTTTAAAATTGAAATCGGACCTAACCTATCTAGTTTGAAATGGGCCGATTCCATAGGCCAACGGGTCTGGACGTATCATGATGTTAAAATTAAAAAACCAAAGTGATACTAAATTAATAATAATTACATATATGGTCATCTACTATTAGTCCACAACAATGTACTACCCTCATTTTCAATTTTAAGTCATCCAATACAAAAAAGAGGCATGAATGAAGACAAAAAGAATGACAAAGAGGGGTAAGGGCGTAACTCGTAAGGGCGTTGTTCTCGGTGTAATTACTAATAATAATACAGTGTACTAAAAAGGGGTCTAGTTCGGGTCCTGGATAATTTCAAAATGGAAAACTAGACTGACCTTGCCCGTTATAAATGTTTGCAAAGAGGACCCACCCCTAACCCGGACCGAACCTATCGGTTTGGTTTCGACTCCTGATTCCTTAACCCGTTTGCCCACCTCTAGGTAAAGTGTGATCTTGAGGTCAGTTACATGCAAAAGAGTGATTTCATCATACTACGTATTAAACTAGATAAAATTCAATCACATCAGCTCTAAATTGATGAGATCATATAAGATCTAAGATGATTAGATTATACCATATAAGATACCAATGAGATGAGGGGAAGGGAGAGAGCTTTACAAATATCAAACTCAACATTCGATTTTGTCTCGTGAAAAATATGTTGAAGTTTAGCATGTGTGTAGCATATATATCGGCCTTGTTTGGAACATGATAGTTGGCAGTTGATTGTTGGGTTTGAATGGTTGATCGAGTTAGTTGTTTTGACTCGCTGTTTCTGTTAGCTGTTAAAAATTAGATGTTTGGCAATTTTAGGTGTTTATAGTTGGCTGTTTGTGAGTAAAATTACACATAAGGATATCCCTCCATATATGTTAATTTGTGTATGATTTTAATTTTTTTTAATTTGATAAAGTACACACATTATACAAGAAAATGCTTTACATATATTTTTTTGTTGGACAAAAAAGCTAAGGCTACTTTGTTTTTTTAAATTTAAGAAATGAGAATTTACATTTATATTTTATAAGTAGATTTTTTTTTTGTTTTTTTCTCATTTATCATTCTACAAATAACAACCATGCATGGTATATTTTATTTTATAACTTTTTAAATATGATATAATAAATATATAAAAAATACTCTACACCAATTTTAAATTAAAAAATTAAATAAATTATTCAAGACAAGCATCACAATCTGAAGTATCAAACATCTTTTGAGACGAAATAAGCATTAGAAGTGACAAAAATCAGACAAGCTCTCGACTAGTCAGTAAATTCTAGAGAGGAAGTCAGGAAAACTTCCGGTGCCGTGTGGATCGCAGAGAGACGGAACACCGAAAAAAGGGTAAAAAATGGAAAAGGGCGTGAACTGCTATATGAAATACTGCTATGGTTGGCATTTCAATTTTTGGCTATACGGTTCTAAATGCTAAATCCAAAAGCCATTATCCAAATAATTAATTTGGCAGTTTGACTAGTCCTATCTGCCGTTTATGGTCAAAGATGCCAAATGCTGGGTTAACTGTCATTTACCAAACATGGCCATTGTCATTATTGTCGACAAGCCAAAAGAGTGAAAGACCTCATAGAGTCATATTCTTGCTTTCCATCATTCGGTCGGAAAATGTTATTTCAATTTGACTTTTTACAATCACTAATATTATATTTTGACCATTAATATCTATATTCAAATATAAATATATTTTTAAAAAATTGATATTTCAAAACTACATTTCTTTAAGAATATATTAGTATTAAGTTTACATCATAGTACAATGTACAGATCTTCACTCGTTAAGAATTAAGATGTGAATAAAATGACGGGCTAATAGCATGTATGCCTTTCGTGGTTTACAAAAAGGCGTCAAAATCATTTCTATTTTCAAAAGTCATTTGTAAAGTTCATATGTTTTCTAAATTTTGTATATTAAAAAATTATAAAAATTATATATTAATAATCTATATGTTAAGACAAACCAAACAAGATCACACATGACTATATTTAAGCTTACACATTGTGAGAATTTGATGAGTCAAAGTGCTTAGGTGAACAGTTTCAAAAGTCAAAAGTGGACGAATATAGCGGGACGGAGGTAGTATATTTTTTGATGAGTGTCACAAAAGAAAGAAAAATACTTCCTCCGTCCCATAAAACCCTTCTCCTTTCTATTTTTATTCGTCTCATAAAACACTTCTCATTTCTATTAAAAAGTCACTTTTACCCCTTGTTTTTTCATACCCTACCTATCACATCATACCTTTTTATTAATAATCTATCTATCAAATCATACTTTTAATCATCATATCAAAAGACATTTTTGGAAATTCAATACCAAAATACACTCTTCTTAGATCCCTCTTAAAAAACAAAACTCTCATGTTTTATGGGACTGAGGGAGTAATAAAAGTACGTGTCCGCAATAATAATAATAATGAGTAATAAATATAGCCGTAATATTAAAAGTACAAAAATCAAATTTATAGCTGCTGCGACTCTCGTGGAGGCGAAAATATGGGGACAAGTGGCGGCGGCGGTGTCACAGTGAAATCCGGTGCCGGGAAGAAGTTGGGCACCGACGGCGAAACAGAGAAGAATGGCGGTGGGACAGAGTATATGGGGACCAGTGGCGGAGCCGGCGTTACTAAGGGTAAGCCCGGGCTGGGCGGAGTTACCCACGGGAAGACCGGCCGTGGGCCGTTGTGCGGCGGTGGAGAAAGATCCAATGGCGGTGGAAAGATTATGGCCGGCGATTGAAAATTGGGTGGCGGAGGCGACGGAAGCAGAGGTGCGGGCGGGCGACAGGGTCGAAACCTCACGGCGAAGCCTCGACGGTGGCACCTTCTTAGCCGATTAATTACTCCGCCGACCACGACGAATCTTGTCTTTTCCCCATCTCTTTTTGGGGTAACCTCATGCGCATAGTTTGGGAAATCTCTTCCTTCCGCCTGGAGTGTAGTTGCAGTGATGACCAATATTACTAACAAAATCACCCCAAATAAACATGCCCTCTTCTCCATTGTCGTACTTCCGGAGTATATTCTATGGTCACCAAGTGTGAGCTAGATATATATATACGGAGTATATATACTACCTCCATCCCATTGTCTTTGTCCAGTTTAGACTTTTGGAACTGTTCATCTAAACACTTTAACTCATCAAATTTTCTTAATGTGTAAGCCTAAAGATAGTCATGTGTGATCTTGTTTGATTCGTCTTAACATATAGATTATTAATATATACGGAGTGATTTTTATAATTTTTTAATATACAAATTACAAGATGAAATGGATTAAAGAAGTGCATTGGATGGTGTGCCAAAAGGTAAGTGGACAAAGAGAGTGGGACGGAGGGAGTATATATATATATATATATATATATATATATATATATATATATATATATATATATATATATAATGCATTAATATATAAGTATCTACAAATATTTGTTGATTTTGACTTTTTTCAATCAATTATTTTTAATTTTAACTCACAATTAAATGAAGTATATATTATATAGAATTACATAAATTAATATTTTGAAAATACTTTATGGAAGGAACTGTCGATAGTACCCTCTTATTTTGTAGTGACGTTAACGTTGCATGGTTGGCCATTCTATTAATTTCGTTGTTGGTTCGTAAAATTTTATCACTCCGCCTTAAAATTTT